TTAATCAACTTCTTCAATGGTGGGACCAGAAGATTCTTGGCCTGCGCTATCAGGCTGAGCTCCACCTGGAAACCCTCCTGTAGGCATACCACCAGGCGGTCCACCTGGCATTCCACCAGCACCGCCAGCACCCTGGTAAAGCTTGGTGATAATAGGGTTGCAAACCTTCTCTAGCTCCTTCTGTTTAGCTTCATAATCTTCTTTTTCACCAGATGGATTTTGGTCCAGCCATTCAATCACTTCTTTGCATTTATCTGCAATGACTGTCTTGTCTTCTTCACTGATCTTGTCTTTCACTTTGTCATCCTCAATTGTGCTCTTCATACGGTAGGCATAGCTCTCCAGACTGTTCTTGGCTTGAACCTTGTCTTTTTGCTTGTCATCATCCGCCTTAAACTTCTCCGCTTCTTTGACCATGCGTTCAATGTCTTCTTTGGACAGACGACCCTTGTCATTTGTGATGACAATATTGTTTTCTTTGCCAGTGCTCTTATCTTTGGCAGAAACATTCATGATTCCATTGGCATCAACATCAAATGTGACTTCAATCTGTGGTACACCACGTGGAGCCGGAGGGATGCCGGTCAGCTCAAACTTTCCAAGAAGATGATTGTCCTTTGTCATTGCGCGTTCGCCTTCAAACACCTGGATCAACACAGCAGGCTGGTTGTCAGAGTACGTGGTGAAGGTCTGACTCTTCTTCGTAGGAATGGTGGTGTTGCGTTTGATGAGAGGTGTCATTACACCACCAGCTGTCTCGATTCCAAGGGACAAGGGAGCCACATCCAAGAGAAGGAGGTCCGACACAGCTTCATGTTTGTCTCCTTTCAGGATAGCTGCCTGTACGGCCGCACCATAAGCTACAGCCTCATCAGGGTTGATACTCTTGTTTAGCTCCTTCTTCCTATCAAAGCATTCGTACAGCAACGTTTGAATTTTGGGAATGCGAGTAGAGCCACCAACCAGAACTATCTCATCGATTTTAGATTTCTCCAACTTTGCATCCCTCAGCGCCTTCTCCACTGGTTCCAAAGTACTACGGAACAAATCAGTATTTAGTTCCTCGAACTTGGCACGGCTTACGGTGATATAAAAGTCGATGCCCTCATAAAGTGAGTCAATCTCAATGCTTGCTTGATGACTTGAAGACAGGGTCCTCTTGGCCCTTTCACAGGCTGTTCGCAAACGGCGCATCGCCCGCTTGTTGCCAGAGATATCTTGCTTGTTTTTCTTCTTAAATTCTCCCTTCAAAAAGTCAACCAGACGATTGTCGAAATCTTCACCTCCAAGATGGGTATCTCCACTTGTTGATTTGACCTCAAAGATGCCATCCTCGATGGTGAGAACGGAAACATCAAAGGTACCACCACCCAGGTCAAAAANGCTGTCTCGATTCCAAGGGACAAGGGAGCCACATCCAAGAGAAGGAGGTCCGACACAGCTTCATGTTTGTCTCCTTTCAGGATAGCTGCCTGTACGGCCGCACCATAAGCTACAGCCTCATCAGGGTTGATACTCTTGTTTAGCTCCTTCTTCCTATCAAAGCATTCGTACAGCAACGTTTGAATTTTGGGAATGCGAGTAGAGCCACCAACCAGAACTATCTCATCGATTTTAGATTTCTCCAACTTTGCATCCCTCAGCGCCTTCTCCACTGGTTCCAAAGTACTACGGAACAAATCAGTATTTAGTTCCTCGAACTTGGCACGGCTTACGGTGATATAAAAGTCGATGCCCTCATAAAGTGAGTCAATCTCAATGCTTGCTTGATGACTTGAAGACAGGGTCCTCTTGGCCCTTTCACAGGCTGTTCGCAAACGGCGCATCGCCCGCTTGTTGCCAGAGATATCTTGCTTGTTTTTCTTCTTAAATTCTCCCTTCAAAAAGTCAACCAGACGATTGTCGAAATCTTCACCTCCAAGATGGGTATCTCCACTTGTTGATTTGACCTCAAAGATGCCATCCTCGATGGTGAGAACGGAAACATCAAAGGTACCACCACCCAGGTCAAAAATGAGCACATTCCTCTCACCACCAACTTTTTTGTCCAGTCCATAAGCAATGGCTGCAGCGGTGGGTTCATTGATTATGCGAAGAACATTGAGACCAGCAATTACTCCTAAGTAAAGAATAGATTGTGGTACGTTATTTAAATGTTTCGTGCAAGTCATAGATAACAGATTTTCTTGAAGAATAATCAGCCTGAATAAAGAAGTGATAGAGACTTGTAGCAAGTTCAGCTTTATATGGTAGACCAGAAGAGTACATTCAAAAGGAGAAAGGGGTTATGGGCAAAGGAGGAGTAAGAGAGAGAAGAGGGGTGGTATGACTTTTGTATCAAAGCATTCTTTAAAGAGAGGAAGAAAAACATAAAATTGCTTCAATGTGGTAAATATAAAACAACATTAACGCTGTCGAGATTTATTTGTCTGCTAGACTGGCAAAGTGACCAAATTCAGGTAAACAATAGATCCTCAGTCAAACACTGGTCATGCTAAATTAGCTGAATGATTCAACTCTCTATGGGCGAGAGGGTGATTTGTACACCTTTGCTCATTGTAATGAAGTAGACCAGTTAAAAGTCAGTTCAAATCAGGAATAAAATTTAATAATGATAGTGACTTCAGTACTGCACAGTTGCAAAAAAAAATTAACCAAATGTTTCTAAACTTAAAAAAAGTATCAAAACAATGAAAATAGTGTATATAGAAACAAAAATTATAATGATAACATGAGTGAACTTGCAGATTACAGAAAATTGTTATAGCCATGAAAAAGTAATTTGCAAAGCTAATCTGTCCAGTAAAAGCAATACTCCAGAACAATAATAATTCATATAACGGTAACTGTTAAAGACATTTTGTCATGTGCCCTTTTTCCAACATGGAATGGAAATATGGATAATTTACATGCAAAATGCACAGTGGGCTATCTGAGTTGCTAGTTTTAGAACTCTTGCTAATCCTTTCGAAGTTCAAAATGAAAAACTAAAATTATATGTCACCAGAAACTCATAAGGGGTTGTTCAACCCCTTATGAGTTTCTGATGTCACTTGATAATAATGCACTGCATGGAACAAAATCACAAGTCCCATTCTTGAGGGAGATAATTGGTGTTACTCACTTTTTTTGGCTGCAGTTTTGTAAATAAAACCCCACCTTGTAGTACTACAGTGACCTCAAACAGTATGATGTGTGTTGTTTGTGCTTTTGAGCCCACTGTGTTTTGGAAGTGAAATTTTTTGTGGTGTTGCAGTTTCTTGTATGTCACCCTTGTCAGAATTGAATTTAGGTTTAATATTTTTTATATGCTTAAATAGCTTGTACCATTGTGACCTTTTTTAGGGGTATAAAATGGTAAGTACAAATAAATTAAAACTAAATAAAAAGACCAACAACACCAATGAAAGCTGACCGAAGCCCACCAATATACTGCTTTCTCTTGTTTAATCCACTATAACTCAGTTCAATAAGATGTACCCATGTACCCTAAAAAGTTTAACTCCTGAAGACCAAATGGAAATTAAAAAAAAAACAACAACAACAAATTCGAGACTTTGAGACCTATCAGCAAAAAAAAAAAAAATTGAGACTCAGAGATGCAAAAATCACCTCAAAACGGGGCTTCAAGACCCACTGAAAATGCTTCCAAGATTTCTAGACGGAGGCAAAATTTCCCCTTTGTTAGGAAAGCATTCAATTTGATTAAGGACCCTGTAGCCTCCCAGGCAGACGTTCTTTTGGCTCCACAGAAGTCGTCCCTAATGAATCATGATTGAGGGGTAGGAATGTGTGACAAACCCCAAAGAATTAAGACGGAATCCACCAGGAAATTGAGTAATTTTAATTTTCAGTGGACAAAAACCTTGTACCCGAATAATATTGAAAGCATAACCCATTCTTTTTAACATTTTTCAAGGGCTAAAGATGTAGTATTAGTCATCTGTAATAACACCAAAGAAAATTTCATATGGGAGCCCGAGAAAATAAATGTCAAATTTCACAGAATTACATCTTACACATGAAATTTTAGAATTTTACCTGTGTTTCCACAATTTTCGTGAAATTTGACATTCATTTCTTGAACTCCCATTAGAAATTTTTGTTGGTGTTTTTACAGATGACTAATTACAATGTAAAAAAGAATGGAATATCCGTTAAATTATTCTGGTACAAGGCTTTTGTCCACTGAAAGTTAATATTACTAAATTTCCCTGTGGATTCCGTCTTAATGTGTGTGTGTAGGAGGCTAGGACCCTCAGGGCACTCATTTAATTTCTGGACTTTGAGAGTGGGCATTTATTCAAGGTGGGCTCTTATTTGAGGCTGGGCACCTATTTAATTTTCACCATGTTCATCAGGTTGTAAGTTTATTTGGAAACAAATCAATAAAAAATAATAAAAGGGAAAGATGCACCCACGATGTACACATGCAGGAGTTTTATCTGTTCATTGCAACTTCCTTCAAAATAATAAGGAAACTCAGTCTTTTGGGGGAGACTCTTTTTAGTGCTTAGTCATTTCATTTTCATTGTCATCAGGGTCAATTTTTTCTTTGTTTTGTTTTTTTTTTGGGGGGGGGAGGGGATGACTGCTTATTCAGGACTATGCTCACCTAAACCATCATGCTCCACCTACTTATAAATTACTCCTGGGTTTAAACCTTGGACAGCATTATTTAATAATCCACTGTCTAATGGTGAGACCCATTCCTTGCACTTGAGTAGACTTTCAAAAAGTCCTTCGATTTAATATAATGCAGAATAAAGACTGTCGCTCACTTGGCCGCCTTGTGGCCTCCTTTCTACAATGAATTGTGCAATTTGATTGGTTGATTTCTGACCAATTATGATACTCATTAAATATATATCAATTTGATTGTTCTGTTTTATGTTTTTTGATCGAATCGAGAACAGCTCAAACAAGAGAACCAAATCCACTTCTTGTTTTATTTTCTTTTTTGAAAATAAATCTCAAAAAAAAAGAAACGAAATTAATGAAAAAATTTTGAAAAAGGCTTTGGTAGGAAAATAGGTTTTTCAGGATCCGGGATTTTCCTTGTCTGAAGCTTAGGATTCGGGATTTTAAAGCAAAATCAAGACGAGATTCGGGATTGAAAGTATGCGCAGGAGGTGGAATACCCTTGGGATTACGGGATTGCATGGAATTTCGGGTCAGGATTACGGGATTGAAGAACCCTATTGGAGACCTGCGCTCTGGGGAGAACCGGGAGAGTTGGCAGGTATATAGAAAGCACAACCCCTTCCAGGCAGGGTTTAACAGAGACAAAACATATATTTCATAGCACGTTCTTTCTACAGAGGAGCTATCTGTTGCTGTAATACATATGTAGCAAGTAGGAAATAAAAAATAATAATAAAACCCCACAGATACTTTTAACAAATTATTTTCAGTACACTTGACTGAAAGTCTAGTCCAGTTTCAGTTCTTAGACTTCTTACCGGCATCTTTGGTTGCCTGTCTCTGTGAATCATTGAAATAAGCCGGCACAGTGACAACAGCGTCAGTGACCTTATCACCCAGATACGCCTCTGCTGTTTCCTTCATTTTGGTCAAAACCATGGAAGAAATCTGTCATGTAAAACAACGAACATGTACGATAAGCGAGGTATGTGGCAGATAAGTTACTAAAGCTTACCTTTCATCTTGAGAAATACTCAAGCAAAAAGGAAGGGTCAAATACCTCTTCGGCAAAGAACGTTTTAGTTTCGCCTTTGTGTTCAACTTGAATTTTTGGTCTTCCGCCATCGTCTACAACCTGAAAGTGAAAGTGGATTTTTGCAAGCATTGAGCAGATTGAAATCATTCTTATTTAATACTTGAGGTTTATTTAACCTTGAGGATAATTGATTTACCTTAAAAGACCAGTGTTTCATGTCGCCTTGAACAGTTCCTTCGTTAAATTTTCGTCCGATGAGCCTCTTTGCATCTAACCAACACAAAAGAGTATGGCGACCGATCACCGGCGCCGAAAAAAAATGACCTTCTTTTGTATGGAGGTTACATCTATGTAACGTCGAAAATCACTATATTTCGTTTGAGATTAAGCAGAAGTCTCCTGAAAAAACAACTCACCGAAAACTGTATTTGAGGGATTGAGAGCGACTTGGTTCTTCGCCGGGTCGCCAATGAGTCTTTCCGTGTCAGTGAAGGCGACATAACTGGGAGTTGTTCGATTTCCTTGATCATTAGCGATTATTTCAACCTTCCCGTGTTGGAAAACACCAACACAAGAATAGGTAGTTCCAAGATCGATTCCTACGGCTGGAGCAGGCATTTTAGTGCGGAGAAAATCAAAATTCTCTGGCGACACAACAGTTGCAGAAAAATGACAATTGCGTCATCAAACCGTGCTCGCTAGTTACATAGCGGCCTTGCCTCGTTCTGGTGATATCGTGCGCTACGCTGACACGCAAACCACCATTTCCGTATCCGGTACGTGCGGCGTGAAAATACCGTTAGACTGCTAGCGCTTATTACTGCCGAAAAGACGATGTCACATCCCATTTATCCCAATAAAATGCTCCATCTCTCCCCCTCAAGAAATACGTTTACTTCAAAAACCAAATTTCATATTTAAAACAGTAAACTGATCGTTACGGCAGGAAGAGTGATAGAAAAAAAAATAAAGAAAGAAAACAAAAATAAACATGATAAAGTAGTGAATTATATTTGCCCGATATTTCGGTTTGCAATACAAACCTTCAACTGGGGCTATAAAAGAAAAATGAATACAGATAAAAGATGAACGTTACATATGTGAGACTTGAATACATGGCAAAACAAAATGATAGGCTACTAAGAAGATAAATGTCAAATTAAGTTCATCACGTCTACTTATGCACCTATCAATGTAAACCCCGTGGGGGGGGGGGGGGGGGGG